ACTATGTGTCCAGGGGTCAATGTTTTCTTTACATATACATTGTTTTAAATACAATTTTATTGTTTCTGATGATTTCACAGTGATTTCGATTTCCATTCAACAATTTTGACACGAGCTGTTCAGATACATTGGTTACATTCGTGACAATATGTGAACATGTCATTATTTCTGTTCGCATTGTTCCATTAATGTGGTTTCCCTGCCCCCATGCGTTCTCTTCTATATTTTAAAGTAATTGCTGCCTATTTGGTCTCACGTGAAAGATTTTTTAAAGGAGCCTAGCACTTTTGAGTGATATTTATTATTTTTTGAGTCACAATCTATTTAACTACAAGGTGGCCTCAGGAGTTAGTTTTGGTTCAAGGCTTGAAGAGGATCGCAGGGCAAAGATTTTGGAGAGTCCTCTAGCCTCCACTAGTTCAGCAGATTTGGCTTTTATTTGTAAATATATATCATAATTTGAGATTCTGTCCCACATTTTTCTCCCATGCTATCACGGTCCATCTGTTGTGCCCCTAATTGTTGTTTTATTTTTAAATAATGTTTCTTTGAAGATTTGAAGACATTTCCTTTCATCTTCTAATGATATTAAAAAGTATGAAGCATTTATAATTCCTGCTACTTTTGTACATGTCCTGTTTCTTTTCTGGTTTTTTTGTGTGTGGGTTTTTTTTTCCATTTTTTTTTTCCTGGAAGCTTGTAGAATCTTTTTTTTGCTCCAAGTATTCTGAATTATGAGCACTTGGTGAGCCTTTACTGCCTGAATAGTTTTTAACCATTGTTTTGTTTCTGATTTCCTATCCTTTGTTTTCTTTTTCTGGCCCTCCTATTATTTAGAGATTGAACTCTTGGGCTGTTTCTCTCATTTTCTTATAGTATCCTGTTCTTCATAGATGTAGCAGCCTCCCTTTTCGCTCTTAGATTAGTAGTATCCTACTATAGTATAGGCACTGTAGTATAAGCACTGGACTGCTAACTGCAGGTTGATAGTTCAAACCCACTAGCTGCTCCTCAGAAAACCTATACAGAGTCGCTATGTTTTGGAACCAACTCAATGGCACTTAGCTATACAACAACAGCATTATCATAGGAATTCAGGTAGTATTTTATGAGTCTTAAAATTTCATTGATGTTGCTAAGATGTACTTTAACATTTGGGTATCAGATATTTGTTTCTTAAATAATCTCAACTTTTTTAAAAAACCAGCAAGTGCAAATACAAAGAACGTTTTTCTCTGACATATTTGAAAGTGTATTGCCACATGATTCCCTATTACCCCTCTATGCATTAGTGTGTATGATTATTTGGTCTACATATATCATAATTGTTTGGGGTGTTTCCTGTATCCTTTTGTTATCTGCCTATCATTTCTGTGCCTTTCCTTACTTTCTGGCATAATAATATATTTCAGACTCATCTTGTCTCTCTCCTACCCCAGCATTGTTGTTGTTTTTATTAAATGCCTTTGATTTGGTTCTGACATAGCAACCCTGTATAGGGTTTCTGAGGAGTAACTGGTAGGTTTGAACTGCTGACCTTGTGTTTGCAGTCCAGTGCTTACCCTACAGTGCCACACCAGGAGTCCAACAGTAGAATCAGCCCTTTCTTCAAAGAGCTCATGTTCCTTTTAGTGTAGCATAGTATTTAGAAACCAAGATATCACCTCTAGATAACTTATTGCTATTGGGGTGCCATCTCAGTGGATAGAGCTTGAGATATTTATGTACACATAGCCAAGTCCAGTCTTACCCCAAAGGATATAGTTTATTTTTCTCCTTTTCCTTATTTTTAACTACCTTCTCCAGCAGTGAAAACTCTCACTCCTATTCTCATGTCAGTGCTGCAGCTAGAAAGAATCTAGGAGCTGCAATCTCAGGCCTCCGCATTCCAGATGAAAACACTGAGTAATAAAGAAGTGGTGTAGCCAGTTCAAGATACTAGGGCGTCAGTACAGAGTTTTTACATGTAAGATTTATGTGACAAAGTACTCATAATTGTTGTTGTTGTTAAGTGCCATCGAGTCGGTTCTGACCCATAGCAACCTTTTATAGGATTTCCAAGGAGCAGCTGGTGAGCTTGAACCAACGACCTTGCAGTTCAAACGGGTTTGCAGTCTGGTGCATTAACCCACAGCACCACACCAGAGTGTTAATAATATGCTAGTACAATTTACTTAAAACTTTCCTTCTGCATAATACTTTTACAAAGTGTTTTTGGAAACTAAAGTGCCTTACATAAGACCCTTATATTGTTATAATCATTGAATAATAAAAATATATCCCCTCCCCCCCCTTTTTAAAAAAAATTCTGGACGAACAGTAGAGACTGAGGAAAAGTTTTCCTCCTAAAACATCCCCTTTTTACTTGTATTTTTCTAGGCCTTTTTTCTAGATAGGTGAGTTTTTCACTGTGTGCCTATGTGACCCTAAAACAAGGAAGAGACTTTGGACAGAAGCCACTTCAAACCAAGGGATATATCCCTGGTCCAAAGAAGTTCCAGCTAATTCTCCTTGAGTGCTTCGGCCTTTGCCTCATGTTGTTCCACCTCTCGGTCAGGCATCCTCTGCTCTGCTTGAAAGGATTTCCTGGATGTCTGGCCTGTGACAACAGTGGCCTTGTCGCCTCTCCCAGAATCTGGAAATAACTTTGTGATCACTTTAACACAGTCACTCAGGGGTTTCCATCCTGACTTGCTCATTAGTTCTGCTTAAGGACTGCAACAAGGAAGCTTAATATTTGATTCATCCAGCTGCTGTACGGGAGATCTCTGAAAATAAGTGTACTTTTTCTGGAGTTCATTTTATTCGTTGCCTAAAAGTGTTACTTTAACAACCCTGAGAAGGAGCTTTCTCTAATTCACATGGAAGACCTGCTGAGACCACTATTTGCCCTGGTCATATAAGGTTAGAGTCATGGAAGAAAGTCTGGGAACAATGGCATTGTGTTGAGATGCTGTGATGGAGGACAGGGTGGAAAGATGTGAGCAGGTGCAGCTAGCCCCAGAGAGGAGCAGTGTGGGGCGAGAACCAAGCTGATCATCTGGTTATTAGTGTTCATTTTTGTTACATGGTGTTCAATATAATCCTCTTCCCGACAGACTTTGTCCAGGTTTTCTATATATAACAGAGCCCGTGAGATACACACACTCTCTCAGACACACAAGGGGGCATCAAAAAGTTTATGAAAAGGTAGAATTAAAAGATAATAAAATTTTTCCACAGTTCCAACTTCTTGCAGCCTCTTTATTATACACACACACGCACACAAGGATATATTTATTTATGGAGAAAGAGAGATTGGTTTATCTCATCATTCTGACTCATATAATTATAGGGGCTGGTAAGGTCCAAATCCATAGGTCAGGCAACAGGCTGGAGATTTCTGTAGGCTTGTGTTTCAAGATCCATAGGTTACATAACAGGAAAAAATGCAGTCTAGAGAGAGAAAGAGCAAGTACTGCCAAAATATCTACTTATAGACTGAGGGCAGACCACATCCTAAGGGCTCCCCTCCTACTCCTTTATCTGAATGATTACATTAAATTATATTATGGAAGTTGATTATATTACAGAACAGCAACTAGTCTAGAGTTTGTCAAAAAAAAAAAACCCTAGGAATTACAGCCTAGACAAACTGACACATAAAGTGAACCATCATACCTAATTTCATTACCTAAAAAACCCCAAACAACAAAAGCCATGTGTAGCTACTGTGAGCACAGATGAAACCAGTGTAAGGCTGTAAATTGTGGTAACTGGAAAAAATAAGTGGCATCCTTTATGCTGTATGTTAACTAACTTTACATCAGGAAAAATCCCTTATAAAAATGGAACTGATTGACCTATATTTATGGATGTAGTAGCTCAAAATACCAACTGAGAGAGAAGGAGTCTTTACATCAAGTATCAATTCTATCCCCTCTGTATATAGGGCTGATAAAAATGAGCAACTTAGACATTGGCTACCTAAAATTAGGGGATGGAGGTGGCATAAAGGCATGAAGTGACTGACTGACAAGTTTTCAAGAGGGAGTTTAGTTTCAGAGTGTGCAAGGGGAGGTAGAATCCCCACTGAATAAGTTCATCTTGTCTAGACAGGTCTGGTGAAAGGAGATAGGGATAAGATTTTTATGATTTGATAGTGAATAATTGTTACAATGACTAATTGTGGCTGCCACACCTGTAAAATTAGAAGTTTTGTAACAAAAAGAGGGGAGTAGTTAGTCTTACAGTCCAGAAACAGAGGACCCTAGGGCCATCAAGGGAGAAGAGCATGAGCGGAATGTGGGACCCTATCCAGAGAAGCATCATCACCAGAGATGGAGGCAGAGAAAAGGACACGAAGAGAGGGAGCAGCTGAGGACTCTAGACTCATGGAAAGAGAAAGGCTGTGTGCTGGTGGCCAGGAGGCAGGCTTGCAGAATGTGCCCTGTCGTTGTTTAAATGCTTATATATTCCTAAGTGTTTTTGTGTACATTTCCCACCCCCACCACCAATTTTTTTTTTTTTTTTAAAAAGCAAAATGGAGTAAAAGCAAATACTGTTGAATGATAATGCATGGAGGAGATTGTAATCATTGCAATGAAACGATGAGTATAAAACCAATGTTCTCCCATGTAAACTATCACTCAATTCACAATAAAAACTTATTTTTAAAAAGCAGGGCAGGGGACAGAACTGAGGTTGCCGGGCAGTTTCCCAGAAGTGTTGCAGATGTTTGAGGTATATTTCATTAATAAGTGACCTATGGATTTTCATGGTCCCTCGCTATGGAAGTAAATGTGAACCTTTTTATTATTTTGCAGTCCCTAGAATTCAGCACTGTGCTGTCTGTTCTCTACACTTTGGGCCCATGTAATGAATGCTCAGTGAGTAAGAAGACATTATAGGGCACTTTGGAGTTTTCATTACTTATTCATTGTCTTGGTTTGCTTCTTTTTTGAGTGGAATTCCATAAGCACACTAAAAAACATATTGTGTTACTTCTCTGTTTTTATTAGGGTACCAGAATATCTTGTGAAGAGCATAACATGGCAGACACTGCAAGCTGTAAACTTTTGCCATAAACACAACGTAAGTCTCCTTGTCTCCGTTTTAAAAAAAAAAAATCAAAAGCCTATTCTTAAGCTGACATGGGGTCTTTTATACACAGTTTACACTTCGGTGATGTCATTCTGCCCAAATCTTCATAAGCCTACTTTAAAGTTAAGGGTTGTGGTTGTTGTTGGTAAGTACCATGGAGTTGGTTCCAACTCACAGTGACCCTGTAGGTGGGACTGAAAATGCCAACCTAGCAATCCATTTCTTCTTGCTCAGTTTTATAAAAAAGATGCATTTTTATGATTTTGTTGTTAAGTGCCATTGAATCAGTTCCAACTCATAGCAACACTGTGCACACTGTCTGGTCCTGCACCATCCTAACAACTGTTACATTTGAACAACCACTGTTGCTGTGCCATTCCATCTTGTTAGGGGGCTTCCTCTTTTACCCTTTTACCTAGCATGATGTCCTTTTCCAAGGGCTGGTACCTCCTGATAACATGTCCCAAGTATGAGAGAAAAAATCTTGCCATCCTGGCTTCCAAGGCATATTTATGATTTGAAGAAGCTATATGTTTAAACTGGAGTCCTGGTGTGGTGCTAATGCATCAGACTGCAAAGTCATTTGAACTACAAGGTCGGGGGTTCGAGCTCACCAGCCACTCCTTGGAAACCCTATATAGGGTTGCTATGGTTTGGAATCGACTTGACGGCACTTAACAACAACAACAACAACAGCATACGTTTAAACTAATTAGAGACTACTCAGATTTAAGATACAGTTCCATTCACTGAGAGTCCAGGTTGATCTGTTGCCCCCAAAAGCTCTGAAATTGAGTAGGGGAACCCTAGGTGATGCATGACCATTTAGTGCAATCAATAGTTGGAGTCCTAAGTGTGCCACAAACATGCTAATGTCTGTTTTGGTGAGACATGAGTGCCAAGTGTGGACCAAAGCTGCTCAGTGTGGATGAAGGCAGCCTCTGAAACTGTATAGGCCACAGATGGGCTGGTAGGAGACGTAGTAGACTGCTGTTCAGGTGATGTGATTTCACAAGTGCTGGGCAGCCTGCTGTTTCCTGAAGTCCAGCAGGGCTACTCTCTGCACTAGAAACCAGATTCCAATGTTAGAGCTGAATTTAGGTCGCCAAGGCAACTTGACTGCAATATGTCACCCCATCGACAATTTCAGTTGATTGAACTGGTAGTGTTGAGTCCCCTTCCTTACACTGTTCTAGATGATTTTTCTGGAAGCTGCATTTCCAGAAAGAGAAACCATTAGACAGCAATTCTCCCCAGTGAACCTCCACTTGGCTGGAGGCTGCAGTGTTTGTGAAAATGCACATGTATTAGAGAGGGAGGACACTTTATATTGCTATAAATCTGAGTGAGGAGGGTGAATACGTTCCTGGCACCAGGTTTTAGGACAGGCAAGAAGCAGAGACAAGAGGCCCTGGCTTGGAGCCATTAAAGACAAATGACATGCATACCACAGTTCCCTGGAGAGCCTCAGAGCTGTTTGGTTCCATGTGTTGGTGCTGATGGGGGAAGGGTGCAGAAACTCGTAAAGAATTCCCAAATCAGAGTAGGAACACATTCCTGCTTACAAGTCCTTCTGACTATATGCTATCATGATATTTAAACAACAATTCATTTATAGCAATATGTGAAATCAATTGTAAAAGAAGAAAAATCTAGGAGCAATTCACAACTGAGAACCAGATGTTGTTGTTAAGTGCTGTAGAGTTGGTTCTGACTCATTGTGACTCTGTATAGGGTTTCTGAGGAGTGGTTGGTGAGTTTGAACTGCCAATCTTGCAGTTTAAACTGACCTTGAGGTCGAGTGCTTACCCTACAGCGCTACACCAGAACTCCATATAGATTATAAGAAAATAATTCAGAAATGGCCTCCAAGAAAGTTTGCCAGAATAAGTAATACCTGTGGGAAACATTGGCACCAATCTCTCAGCCACAGGCACTCCAGAGTTAAGAACTAGGCCAAACCCAAGAAGAACCTTGCCCTTTCCTCTCCTCAAAATTTAAAAGTCAAAAATAATCCCAGGGCTTCTGGCTAAAGGCTAAAGAGGGCTTATTCCGGCTGTGGAAGAATCCAGCATTGCCTTCAAGAGAGAACACTTGGGAGAGAGGGAGATTGTTCAAAACCCCGAGTGGGATTTTGTTTTTCAGTAGTTGCTCATTAGGTTGTTGATTTGTTTTTTGCCAAGGAAATTTTCATTTAATAAGAAAATCATGTGAAGCTTCTTAAACGTTCTTCTAACTTCATCCTCTGAAAGAATGTGGGCTGTGGTTTGGAAACCACAGGTGATTTGAGTTTGAATCATGGTGTAGGGGCCACATCCCACAGGACGGCTGCAGCTCTGAGAACAGTTGTGTGTGGGACAGAGCTGACATCTAGTGACTTTCACTAAAGGGTGAGAATAGCCTACTCTTGTTTATCTTGTCGGGATGAATGTCAGAGCTGGAAGGATCTCTTGGCAAGTTGATGGTTCCCGCCCTTCTCTTCCTCAGCTTATCTCAGCAGGCCCAGGGCTTGTCCTGTTTACTAGACCGACTTTATTCTGTTCTCAGTTAAACAACTGAATTGTGAATTCTGCCTGTGCACCAACTTGCAACTCCTGTAAACATGATGTAAGCCACCTCTAGAGCCTTGTAACATTTTCTCTTTCACCTAGGGTTTTCAGGTTAAATATATTACATTCAAATTTCCTGGTGAAATTTGAATTGCAGATAAACAATGATAATTTTTAAAATTTGTAATTATGTCCCAAATGCTGCATGGGACATACTTATACTAAAAAAATTATTTACACAAAATATAAAAATAATAGAGTGTACTGTATTTTATTTGTTAAATCTGGCACCCTTGTTGTTAAGTGCCGTTCAGTTGGTTCTGACCCCTCTGTAGGGTTTCCAAGGAGCAGCTGGTAAACCGCAGACCTTGTGGTTCAAACCAATTTTGCAAACCAGCACTTTAACCCACTGCGCCATGACAGCACCCTTACTTCACCTTTTATCCTCTTTGGTCCTTTGGGGATTGTCAGAAATTTGGGATGATTCAGGCAGTGAGAAGTATGGTACTAGATTTATTTTAGGATACTATTTTACTCGATACCACTCATCTGTCGGTTTGTTATACTATGGTGACTTGTATGTTGCTGTGATGCTGGAAACTATGTCCCCAGTATTTCAAATAGCATCAGGGTCATCCATGGTGGACAGGGTTTCAGTGGAGGTTCTAGACTAAAACAAACTAAGAGGAAGGACCTGGAGTTCATGTCTGAAAAATTGGCAAGTGCAGATCCTAATGCAGAGCCACATAGTGCCAACTGATGGACCCCTCAGGTTTGTGCTGTTGGTGCACCATGGAGTCAGTTCTGACTCATAGCAACCCTGCATAGAGTTTCTGAGGCTGTAAATCTTTATGGGAGCGGAAAGCCTCATCTTTCTCCTGTGGAACTGCTGTAGTTTCCAACTGCTGACCATGAGGTTAGCAGCCCGACTTGTAACCACTACGCTGCCAGGGCTCCTTCCTCAGATTGGAAGGCACTGAAAATATGATTGGGGAAGAGATGCCTCTTCAAAGTAGTGGTTAGGTGCTGTTGAGTCAGTTCTAACTCATAATGACTCAGGGTTTCTGAGGCTGTAAATCTTTACAGAGGCAGGAAGTCTTATCTTTCTCCTGTGGAGTGGCTGATGGGTTTGTACTGCAGACTTTGTGGTTCCAATCTAGGCTTATCCTACAGCGCCACCAGCACTCCCATCCTCAAAGTCAAGTCAACCTTAATGTGGATAAAGTGAAGTTTTTATGACCTTCACACAGCGCAACTCAAAATGAGAAGAAATAGCTACAAACATACATTAATAATTGGAAAGTGGATTGTACAAAGAATGATTCTAGAAAAGTTGGAAGTGTTTGAAAATGAAATAGAATGCTTGAAGATAGATGTCCTAGACATTAGTAAGCAAAATGGACTGGTATTGACCATTTTGAATCTCAGTCATGTGGTCTACTGTGCCAGGAATGACAAATTGAAGAGGAATAGTCTCACGTTCACTGAAGAGAGAGATATCCTAGGAATTAGTGAGCTGAGATGCACTGGTATTGACCATTTGGAATCAGATAATCATACGGGCTACTGTGCCAGAACTGACAAATTGAAGAGCAGTGGTCTCATGTTCATAAACAATAAGGACATTTCAAGATCTATCCTGAAATCAAACTCTGTCAGTTATAAGGAAACATCTATACACCTACAAGGAAGATCCATTAACATGCCTATTACTCAAATTTATTCACAAACCACTATTACCAAAGAAAAGAAATTGGACAGTGTTTTGTTCTAGTATATGGTCGTTATGAGTTGCAGCTGACTTAACGGCACCTAACAACAACAACAACTTCTAGCTTTAGTCTTTGTAACACCCACTAAACAACTCTTTTCCAGATTAGTCTGGATGAGAAAAGGTGGTAAAAGATGCTGATGGGATGACATGATTCAGCTGTGGATGTTAATAGCGTTGAGATTGTGAAAAGTTGAAGCTCTAGCATGCGTATACAATGGGGCATGCTGGTGGTGTGCGTGGGCTGTGTAGTCCTTTGCTTGATTAATCAAGCTCACCTCCACCTGACCTCTGGTTCTTGGGACTTGAGCCAACCACCTGACCTGATTTGCCAGCTTCCACTTCCAACTGTAAGTCAACAGTTCAATTCTGTGTGAGTAAGGAGAATCCTCCAAATGAGTGTCTGAACTGCAGATTTGGGACTTGTTAGCTTCACAGCTGTGTAATCCATTTCCTTGATAGCCCATGAGTTCTGTGACACACTGCAGTGAATTGCAGAAACCTGGGGACATTGGGGAGAATATTAAGGGGAGGTGTAATGCTTGATGTCAGGAATGATGGCATTGTATAGATGCTAATTTCAAGGTCAGCAGTTCGAAACTACCAGCCATCCCCTGGGAGAAAGATGAGGCTCTCTGCTCCTGTAAAAGTTAACAGCCTCGGAAAATATATGCAGGGTTGCTATGAGTTGGAATCGACTCCTCAGCACATAATCAACCATAGGTGCTATAGCATGGTGGCTGTGTAGAATTATGGGACTGCGAACCACAAGTTCGGCAGTTCAAGCCCACAAACTGCTTCATAGGGGAAAGATGAAGCTTTCTGCTCCAGCAAATATTTGAAGCCTCAGATTTAAAGCATTTGAGTGAGTACTGAAGTTTTCTGTAGTTAAGTGTAAAAGATAGAAAAGGTTCTTTATATGGAATGCTAAATGATACAGAAAGCTGGTGCTTGGATATTTAGGGCATATACATGGTCACTATGATACAAAACCCAACTCAACCACACTTAACAACGACAACATAACACTTCAGGAAAGTCAGACATTTAGGATATCTTTAACCTGTACCTCAGAGAAACCAGCCTAATGCTGATCTTTCTAAAAGAAATTATTGAATAATAATATAGCACACATTGATGGAGTAGATACAGAGGTTCTAATACAGCACTATGTAGTGGTTACAAATCAGGCTGCGAACCGTAAGGTCAGCAGTTCAAAACTACCAGCTGTTCTGTGGGAGAAGGATGAGGTGTTCTGCTCCCGTAAAGATTTACAGCCTCGGAAGCCCTGTACAGCGTTGCTATCTATGAGTTGGAACCGACTCCATGACAAAGAACAACAACAACAACAGTACAGCACTATAGGAGGTTAGGTAGACCAAAAGCAGCTTCTGCTGGTTCTGCATCCTAGTCAGGAGAAATGTAATGATGGGAATTTCTCGGCGGGACCATTTGAAGCAGAGTCTCTTCTAGTTGCACAAGATTGACAGGAGGACAGGATCTTCTGGTCCAGCCACCAGCAGGGGAGCAGAGGATATGCACTTGTGTGGAAGAGAACTTCCTGGACATGGAGTCCAGTGTACTGTAATTCCACTCCTGACACCAACTACAAATATGTGGTATGAACCATTTCTCCCACAACCCTCTCTACTTCTCAGTTGGGTTCGATAATCCATTGCAGTGGCCACACAGAAGTTGGACAGTATACTAACAAGTTATGGAGCTTTTTAGAGAAGTTAACAGGTTATAAGTCAGGACTAGAAAATGCAAAGGGCAAGGTTCTTTCAGTCAGGGCAGCTACTCAACTGTGCCCATAGGCAGCCCTCTCTGTCTCACCTATGTTACAAAGCTCTTTTAGGCCATACCACTTCACCATAAGCTTCAGCCGTAAGGCATTTGTCTCTAGATCCATGGGTCAGAGGAGTGCTTGGTGCCATCTTTTTTGCACATAGGCTCAAACATAGGAATGATTGTGAGGTTGGCATAGGACCAAGCAATATTTTGTCCTTTTGTACATAGTTTGTTATGAGTTGAAACCAATTCAATGACACCTAACAACAGCAACAGCATTTTACTTTTATCCAAAAGGCTAATGAAACATTCCAATATTAGTTAAATGTTCATGTTTTCTTTACCCATGTTTTGTGGCTGTTCCTTACCTGTTTTTGCTTTGTTTTTGTGTATGTGTGTGTGACAGTGCATACATAGAGATGTGAAGCCAGAAAACATCCTCATCACAAAACGCTCTGTGATTAAGCTTTGTGACTTTGGCTTTGCTCGGCTTTTGAGTGAGTATTGAAGTTTTCTGTAGTTAAGTGTTAAAGATAGAAAAGTTTCTTTACATGAAATGCTAAATTATACAGAAAGCTAATACTTGTATATTTAGGGCATAAGACTGCTATAACTCATAATTTTGTAATTACTGAAAATGTGTAGACACATGCAGGGGTTTATACATGCAAATTATACCATGATAAAATTGATATTTAAAAGTATGTGTCTCTCCTTGTTTCTACCATTTTTTGGTAGAATAGTTGTTTTCAGAATATTATAGAGTGATTCTCAACTTTGTAGATTAGAACCATAAAGTGAACTTTAAAAACTATTGATATACGCCTGACCCTCCTTAGGATTCTGAATTCTGGGTTGGACCCAAATTTCCATATTTAAAAAATATATATTCCAGAGGTTCTGAGTGCTAACTGAAAAGGTTAGAAGTTCAAGTCCACCCAGAAGCATTTCAGAAGCAAAGCCAGACGATCTTCTTCTGAGAAATCCTCTATTGTAAACCTTATGAACGCTTTACTCTGACACACATGGGGTCTCCTGGAGTTGGGGCAAACTCGATGGAAACAGTGAAAACATTTTTTCCAAGTGATTTTAATGTGCAGCTAGTGCTGAGAACTGATTTAGAAAACCACAAGATTGGATGCAAGCTTGATGGCTTTGGTCTTCCTTTGCCAGTTTTGATTCTAGTCTTCTCTTGCTCTTTGTTTTCCATGTTCCATCGCTGACCAGCTGGACCAAGTGACTACTACACAGATTATGTTGCCACCAGGTGGTACCGCTCCCCTGAGTTATTAGTGGGGGACACACACTATGGCCCTCCAGTAGATGTTTGGGCAATTGGCTGTGTCTTCGCTGAGCTGCTGTCAGGCGTGCCTCTGTGGCCAGGAAAATCTGATGTGGACCAGCTCTATCTCATTAGGAAAACCTTGGGTAAGTGATATTTGTGTCTCATTTTTGGGAAGCTGGATGTTTTTACCCATGCCAGTACAGAGCAGTACACAAATTCCTAGTTCCATCTACTGTCCTTTGCAGTTAGGAGAGCCTTCGTGAGTGTCAATAAAAATGGGAAACTCTCAAAGCCTTATTTTAAACGACTCCACTAAGGATGTCCATATTTGTCCTTACAAAAATGACTAACAAGTATTTTGGACTTACTAAGTGCTGCACATCCTGGTGTGGCACTGTAGGAGAAGCACTGGACTGCATGGTCGGTTTGAACTGCAAGGTTAGCAGTTCAGACTCATCAATCACTCCTCAGAAACTCTATAAAGAGTCATTAGGCGTCACACAGCACTAACAGTAACAACAAGTGCCCCAAAAGACACATGATTCTCACTTCAGCATAGTGAGGATCGAGTCAAACTCTGAATAATGATCATAGCAACAATAAAATCTTAGATTTCTACAAGGGCTTAATTGTTGTTGTTGTTGTTAAGTGCCGTCGAGTCAGTTCTGACCCATAGCGACCCTGTACAGGGTTTCCGAGGGTGTAAATCTTTACGGGAGTAGAAAGCCTCATCTTTCTCCCGCGGAGCGGCTGGTAGTTTCGAACCGCTGACCTTAAGGTTCGCAGCCCGATTCGTAACCACTACGCTACCAGAGCTCCTTGATAGTTCATATTTAATTTCATTTATTATAATACAGTCATTCATCCTTTGGGTGTCCTTAACTTCAGCCTGCTAGGCTGGTTTGGACTTTGCAGATTCTATAGAGGAAGACTCTAAACTCTCCAAGTATCAGTTGGAAAGACTCTTTCCATGTAAGTCACTCTTCTTATTCTTATCTTGCTTTCCCACCCCAGTGTGCTTCCCTTTCTTTATACCTACTGGAGGGGAGGGGAGAGATAGTAAAAGATTCATAAGCAAGGATTACCCTCATTTATTTTCTTGCTCTAAACTCTTGTAGCATCTGCATCATCATGTCTTGTACACTGTCTACCCGAAGGTACTGTAGGCTATCTAAGGGCAAGATCATGTCCTCTATTTCTATTTATGCTGCACTGACATTTACACACAGTTGTTGTTGTTAACTGTCATTGAGTTGGCTCTGACTCATAATGACCTCAAACACAACGGAAGGAAAACACTGCCTAGTCTCACAACTATCCTCATGATCCATTGCTGATTGGACTGTTGGGATCTATTGGGGTCTCATTGCCTGACTGATAAAAAGTAGATCTCCAGACCTTTGTTCCTAGTTCATCTTAGTTTAGAGGCTCCACTGAAACCTGTTGGACTGACAGATGGTGGTAACTGCACTTGAGGTTTATTGGACAGGGATCAAGAATTCTACCACTGAACATAAACACAATGGTGGTTGGTAGTTGTGTGCCATTTGGGTTGGTCCTGACTCACAGCAACCCTATAAAGAGTTCCAAGGAGGGGCTGGTAGGTTTGAACTGCCAGCGTCGTTGGTTAGCAGTCCAATGCTTATCCTACAGCACCACAGCAGGGCTGAATTTCATTTTGTATGGTGATGTGTAAAGGACCTACTAGCCCTTTCAGGGACATTCAGGCTCCCTTTGCTGTCTGTCCTCTGGGAGCATTTCCCTATACCCTCCTTCCAGCTCTCTTGTCAAAGACGATGTTTAGGTATAGGAAACTATGTTCATGAAGAAGCTCACTGAGAACTGGGCCATATAGCATTAGAGAATGTATTCTGGTTCCTCATCCAAAATGGGGTATAGAAGCAGTTTTTGGATCTGAGTGAAAAGTGAAGTTCCAAAACAAATTGGCAAAATTAGGCAACTTGATACCTTGGGGTTGGAATTCCAGCTCAGCCCACTGACAGTGTCAGGGGCCCTTGTGTGGTAAGTCTTTGTTTTCTACTCTGTTTTGGTAAGTGGGTCTGGTTGTGTTCAAGTGGAGCACTTCCATTCATCTTATGAAATGCTCTTCAAGTATCCTATCCCTAGCATTTTACATGAGAGCAATTTTAGCTATTGGCTGACAGATGAGCAGGATGACCTTCACAGAATTCCCCTAGATACAGAAATACTGCTTTTGTTGCATTGTTTTATATCTTAAGTGCTTCTAAACAGTGGATGAAATGGAATTCCTAGGTGATCTCTAGTAAGTGCAAACAAGAAAAGATTGTTTAGTTTCAGAAACATATTCTGTCTAGCTAGAAAATCTTTAATGGTTTGCTTTCTTCCTTCCTCAAATATTTATCAAGTATGTATGTATCAGGTATTAAGTATGGTATGTATCAGGCACTGTCTTAAGTGCTAGGCCAATATATATATATATATATATATTTTTTTTTTTTTTTAAATGAATGTTTTATTGTGAATTATGTGATAGTTTACATGGGAGAACATTAGTTTTACATTCATTCTGTCTTATATCATTTTATTGCCATGGTTACAATCCCATCCATGCATCATCAACCAACCAAAGGTTGGTTGTTAACTGTCCCCCCCACCCCCGGTCATCAGCACACAGCCCCTCTCCCTCTCTGGATCTCAAGTCCCCAGCTGCTCCATCTCTCCATATCATCGTCTCTGACTCCATCTCTGGCATCACTGCTTCTCTGGGTAGTGTCCCACTCTCCGCTCTTCTCCACTGATAGTCCTAGGGACCTCCGCTCCTAGACTGAAAAGTTAATCACTCCCCTCCTTGCTATAAAACATCTACCTTTACATTTCCAACCCTCACAATCAGTCCTGATAAGAATTATTCACTAAGGAGCTCTGGTAGCGTAGTGGTTACGAATCGGGCTGCAAACCGTAAGGTCAGCAGTTTGAAACTACCAGTGGTTCCGCGGGAGAAAGATGAGGCGTTCTGCTCCCGTAAAGATTAACAGCCTCACAGCCTCGGAAACCCTGTGCAGGGTCGCTATGAGTCGGAACCAACTCCACGGCACATAACAACAACAACAACATTGTATCACAAGAGACCTATCTGCATTTCATTTCATCAGCCCCACCCAGACAGACTGGATACTACTCACTGGAGATTCTACCTTCCTCCACGTCCTCTGGATCTAGGTTCCCTCTTGAAAGCTTGTAAGCCAGTCACTTCTTGCCTTTGTAGCCCTCCCTCCCCATTTTGGGTAGCCAATGTCCAAGTTACCCATCCATGTCTACTCTGTGTGTGGAGGGGGTGGGAATGATTCTTACAGTAAGGATTTGTCTCCTCTTTTGAGCTACTGTATTCATAGGTGTAGGTCAAGTTCATCAAATTGTATCAGATTATGCTTTTTTCCTCTTCTTTCTTCTTTTAGTTGAGCTCTGATCATCCAGTCATTGAAGCCAGGTCAAGTGGGTATTATCTGCAAGTATGGGTGTTCTTGCGCATATCTGCTCTCTTCTTATCAGCTGGACGCTTCACTCTCCACTCTAGTCCTCTGTGGCTGTGTCACTGACTCTGGGCCCAAGAGTCCCCAGGTCTAGCCACACTACTGGCCGACCAGGTCTCCACCCGGGTTCATAGCAGTCTATTGTAGGCCAATATATTTTTATTTCAACCCATCAGGCTTTAGTTAACATAATTTTGATTTGTGATCATTGCATTTTTGCTAAGAAAAGATGGTGCTGTTTATTTGCATGTGCATTCGAGTTGTTGGATTTAGCTTTCGAAACTACATTATAAGGCCTTGATCAGCCCAAGGCTGATTCCTATGAGGTGGAGGCCAGACATGCCTCTCTCCTCCAAATTTCTTACCAATTCTAACCCAAACAGTCCCTCCCCTGGCATTCTCTACATCTCTGCTGGGTTTGATAGTCTGTTGCAGTGGCCACATGGAATTCACAAACAATGCTAACAATTATGAGGTTTTATTATTTAGGATCAGAAATACTCAGGACGCAATTTTTACAGTTAGAAGTGTCTCTCCTCAGCCATGCCCACAGGCAGGCCTATCTCTAGTCCTTGGCCTTTCAGCTATGTGGGCCCTTTGCCTCTGCCATGTTTGGGTGTTATAAAGCTTTATTAGCACTGCCAATAAACACCCAGAAGGCACTCTATTCAGCAGAATCCTCAGCCTGAAAGTGCTTGGCTCTATCACTGTCTGTCAGCAAACCTAGTTCCCCTATTTAAGTGCCTGGAGGCAACCCACTCTGCAAGTGAGCCTCCTGTCCGAATCACTCAAGCTTCCTCATTCCATGGCCTAGGAAAAGCCACCGTTTTGTACTCTTGGTGCTTATTTATACTGCTGCCACACCTCTGCTGCCCCTCTAATGTCACAGCTGTCTCCTTGATCCAGAAAGTTCACCTCACAGGGACCTTGGGGTTCAAAGGATATGCTCCACTCCTGGTTTTTCTTTCTTGGTGGTAGTGAGATAGTAGAAGAAGATTCCTGCTTCTGAGATGGCTCATTTTAAACCTCGCAGATGGCAAAACTAACCAATTCCCACATTAGAGTTTCATTCACCCTATTTGCATGGCCCCCACTAGCCATTTGGTAAGAGTTACAAAGACTGTGACTGCAAGAGCCATACCAAGTAACTCACTGCACCACACTAACACCATGCTTTATTCATGGTTGTATTTGTAGAATCAGTTCCGACTTATAGCAACTCTGCATAGGGTTTCTGAGGCTGTAAATCTTTATAGGACCAGAAAACCTCATCTGTCTCCCGCGGAACAGCTGGTAGTTTCAAACTGCTGACCTTGCGGTCTGCAGCCCAATTCGTAACCATTACGCTACCAGAGCTCCTTTCACTGTAGGACTCAGTAACGGTTATTGATGGCTGCCTGAATGCTTTTCACTCTGATTGGATAACAAAACTACAGCATTAATAAGTGCATGTGCACACAAGTACAGCATCTACAGAAGGAAACAAGAGAGCATTGTTTGCTGCCATTCTCACTTTAACTCCTTCTTTCTTCTTATCCAAAGGGGATCTCATTCCTAGACACCAGCAAGTATTTAGCACAAATCAGTACTTCAGTGGTGTGAAAATTCCAGACCCTGAAGATATGGTGAGTGACCCATTTTGGAGGGAGCTTTGATTAGGAGATTGTTTACATGGTAAATTGCAGAGCTGGCTTGGCTAGATGGATTAGGAACTGGGAGTTACTCACATGCCTGAGCCCAATGGCCCATCCTGCACTAGATGTTTAGTGTAAAGGTGAAAATTTATGACAGTTGCTAACAAGATCCTGACCTTCGGGGCCAGTTTAGATAGCTGGTAAGCACTCAGCTAGCACAGTGTACATGGAAGCAGAGCCACCTGTTAGAGCTATACCTGCTCTTTATCATTACCAGCAATTGAACTTAGGTAGCTCAGAGTTAATCAGCTTTTAGACAGTGACCTCTGGAGGAAAAGTTTCCTCTCTTATTGTTGCTAAGTGCTGTCGAGTCGATTCCGACCCATAGCGACCCTGTCCAAGGCTTTAAATCTTTATGGGAGCAGAAAGCCTCATCTTTCTCCCGCAGAGCAGCTGGTAGTTTCGAATTGCTGACCTTAAGGTTCACAACCCGATTCGTAACCACTACACTACCAGAGGTCCTCTCCTGTAGCATTGCCCAAATCCTGTCCTCTAAAACTCTGGGAGCGGAGTGGTTACGAATCGGGCTGCGAACCTTAAGGTCAGCAGTTTGAAACTACCAGCCGCTCCGCGGGAGAAAGATGAGGCTTTCTACTCCTGTAAGGATTTACACCCTCGGAAACCCTGTACAGGGTCACTATGGGTTGGAACCGACTCGACAGCACTTAACAACAATAACAACATGTTCTCACCATATGGAGACCAAAGGGAAAATCATTAGGAGCTTGCTTGGTCAGCCTCATTCTGGTGCTTGCCCTTTATGGAGACAAGAGAATACCCAATTATGAAAATTGTAAAGCTAAAAATCTGCATGCCTTAGCCCACTTCTGAAAAATGATCCCAATGAAACCAGAAGACATGGGCATTATTTAATAGAAATAGTTTTCTTTAGTGTTCCCTCAGTAGGGGTAATTAAGAACGTTATGGTGCATGCTTACAATAGAAATACCAGAGTCATTAAAAATACTTAGATTTATATATACTGTCCTGAAAAAAATGTCTACAACATGTTAAATGGGGAAAAAAAAAGGGGAACATGACATAATTTTAATAATAGATACATGCATACATATATTTGCATATACAAATTCATAATAAATAGTATCACAGCCTCTGAGAAATCATGCAATGCTTTTTACATTTGTGAAATAAGTGACACAAGGAAATATACCACAATATTACCAATCATTGTCTTTCTGTGGTAGGACTTGAAGAGACTTTTATTTTTTCAGTGAGCATATATCATAATGAAAGCCATCTTATAGTAAAATTAAAGTCTGAAAAGATACTTTTAAACTGAAACCAGTCCTCTGGCTTCTCACAGATTCCAGATGGAAGTTTCATCTGTCCCCACCACTGTGCTCTGTCCGGTCCCTCTCCCTCTTGGCCACCCCACAATGAAGGCTTCCACTTCCCCACTTCCTCCCCTTTCCCTGCAGCACCAGCAAGAGGAAAAGTGGGTCGTGCTGGGACAGAGGGGCAGGAATGACACCTGGCATATGGGAGGTGACCCATCAGACTCTCTTGTGACCTGGACATTTCCAGTTCCTCACTAAACGTCCCTGAGCGGTTTCCTCTTCCTTTGTGTACCAATGAGGCATCAAAACAACCCAGGTTTCATGAATGTAAAAAGCTTCCCAGAGGTTGTCCTCAGGAGATTTCCTGTTGACAGAAACACAGGAAGAAGCAGTGTGGGGGCTGGCTGGTTGAACATCTGTGCCCAAGTCCCTCTGCCGGTTAGTAACGCTGATGGAGGGAAGCCTGCTTGCATTTAGACCTGGGAAACTGGCTAAGCAGGCAGGATGAGCCAGGCAGGTCTCAGCCAACTGGCCGGCTCCATCCCTGGTACTGAAGCTGAGACTGCAGAGCCCAGTGGCTGCAATTTCATCTCAATTCCCAGCAATGCTCAGATTCAACACACAGAAATAGAGAAATATTTAATTCGGGGTGTGGAGGCATTTGTGGGCAGGGGAAGGATATTCTCAAGGGTCAGTGCAAAACTACTTTAGGAATTTTTTTTTTTTTTCAGAGTGACCCTGTAAGACAGAGTCGAAGTGCTTCATAGGACTTCCTCTGCTGTCATTTTAACAGAAGCAGACTGTCACATCTGTCTCCCATGGAGTTTGTTTAGCAGCTTAGTGCTTTAACCATTCTGCCACCAGAGTGCCTTTTATGAATTTATTCATAAAGATGAAGTTATTGAATTCAGGGAGCTCTGAAACTGAGGCTCTTACTAAGTGATTAGTATGTACACAATCAGGAGTTGGTTGTAGAGGGCTGATTTCCATATTCAAAATAAGATGATGCTCAACCACAGCCTGGGATTGAATTTCTTTAGATGAGCCAGACCAGTACTCCAGCTTCCAGCGCACACACTGCCATCTTTATAATGCACCATGCTCATTTATGTCACCCATCTTGGTTGACTGTTACTTTTTCAGCTTCCTTCCTCATTTGCCTCTTTGTCAGTGGTATATCTCTTTAACTGGCCTGTTTGTCTTCCTGACACTGGACATTCCTCCTACTTAATAGTATTTGTTGTTTCTGATTGTCTCTAGCTTGTGACTGGATCAAAATAGCCTTATATGGCCAAAGGGAGATTGATAAATGTCTGTTTTTAGAGACTTTTTAAGCAGTAGACTGATCTAGGAAACAGCAGGCTCTTGGAGCAGACAACATGTTTATTTCAGAAAACCAAGAAGCATCTGGAGATTACTTGGGTAAGGGGAAAAGAAAAATCTATTTTGAAGTTCCCTTTATATAATGCCATCAGTACAATAATTTTGACTCCCTTTAATAAATGCTAAAAATTATACTGAGGAAAGTCAAGTTACATAAATTGAGGCATTAAAAAAATGAAATAGCAATTGCTCAACAACTCTGCTTTTTTTTTTTTTTTTTAATCAGTGTTCTTTAGGAAATAAAGGACATGGTTAGGAAGTAAATTTGGAAAAGCAATTTGGAGATGGGGAGAGAAAGAGCTTGTCAAACAGGCACAGGAATGCTGTTTCAGGTAGGAGTTAGGATTAGGAAAGGGTAGAGGTGCCAAAAGATGCTACTCACTCAAAAGAAATTTAATTTGAGGTAATTGTTTACTTGAACATATGATGTAAATAAAAAACTATGTTTTCTTTTTATCCTTTTTCACAGGAGCCTCTTGAATTAAGATTTCCAAACATCTCTTATCCTGCCCTGGGGCTCTTGAAGGTACAAGTACAGTTTCCAAAAGAGCTTTGATCATTGGGGAATCTGAATTACTTACGTCAATCTATGAATTGAAATACAAACTGTTCCTTTTAGAATTCCTTTTTTTTTTTTTTTATGTAAGTAAGAAGGGATTTCAAAAAGTTTATGAAAAAAATGGAACTAAAGAATAATGGAATTTTTCCATGCGCTCTTTGAAGTTCCCTTCTACAGTGCATTTTCAATTTTTAAAATTGAGTTATGTTCTATTACAGTGAAATGATCTTAAATGCATCTCACTTTAAATACTGCTTACATTATTGTTGGAATCTAAATTTACACAAAATAGGAATTTCAGGTAGATGTTTATTTTATAAAAAGAACCCTTTAAAAAAATGTTTAGTCATAGGATTTCTTAGTTAACTCCCTAAATATTGGCAGTATATTTTGATTTTTAAGCTTTATATATACATTTTTAGAAATACTGCTCTGATATACAATAAGGAACCAATTATAATTATAATATTTGAAAGTGACAGTCAATGCCTCACCATTTCTGAAACAATTTAATACCTTTACTGATACATTAATTTCTTGGACTTTGAAGCTCTGAGATTCTAATTCATCTAAGTGTGAGTCTTATAGCCTCCTAAAAGGCAAAGAAAATAGTTGAGATAATGTATTATAAAGGTATGTATGTCATACTCTCCTGACATATATACATACATATGCTTATAAACACAGACTATTTTTGGTGTGGCACTGTGGGTTAATGTGCTAGACTGCAAGGTCAGTTTGAACTGCAAGGTCACTGGTTCAAACTCACCAGCCACTCCTCAGAAACCCTATACAGAGTCACTATAAGTTGGAACCGACTTGACGTCACTTAACACCACCACCACCAAAAAAAAAATTTTTTTTAAAGGCTGATTCTTTTTTTTTTAATGGAAGAATTAGGGTAACAGAGAGACTTTGTTGTCTACCTTAGGATTTTTTTTTTCACCATGTGTATTATTTTTAAGAGTAGGCTTTATAAAGCTTATGCAAGAGACCCAAACAACTAGAGTATTATCCCAGTTGACCACTGAGGTAAACTAAAAAACTCTTACTCCCTCAGGGTAGAGTATCAGCTGCCTCAAGAACTGAACAAGATAGAGAAAACGGTAGCAATTTTTTGTTAATTCTCTTAGAAACATATATTATTTGAGCATTAACCCACAGCGTCATACTAGGACTCCAGAAACAGCAGTAGAGGGAGCTAAAATTATTTTGGGTATGTTGGATATGTTTTTACTAAGGAGCTCTGGTAGCGTAGTGGTTACGAATGGGGCTGCGAACCTTAAGGTCAGCAGTTCGAAACTACCAGCCACTCCGCGGGAGAAAGATGAGGCTTTCTACTCCTGTAAAGATTTACACCCTTGGAAACCCTGTACAGGGTCGCTATGGGTCGGAACCGACTCGACGGCACTTAACAACAACATGTTTTTACTACTTTTTCTCATCTTTTCCCAACTAGAGAGTTAAATTGTTTATAGAAGATATAAAATGTCACTAATTAGTTAATACAATTTGAAAGACGTGAAACAGACATTTTCTGTTCCTCCAGGGTTGTCTCCACATGGACCCTGCTGAGAGACTGACCTGTGAACAATTGTTGCAGCACCCATACTTTGACAACATCAGAGAACTAGGGGGGTTGGCAAAAGGACATGAAAAACTAACCAGGAAGACCCTGAGACCAAGCCGGAAGCACTTGCCTGGAGTGAAAATGGTGCATTGCTTTACAGAAGCATCCAAGGTTACAGCTTTAAATGATCTATCTCATCACCCTGCCTTTGGCATACAGAGTCTGAACCAGCAGACGGGAGGGTGGCAAGTGTGGCCAGTAGCTACAATATCATTTCAGCAGTAGGAGACAGGCCCCAGAGATAGTGACCTTCCTTGCTGAATCCTAAAAGTATTCTTGTCTTACAGTTTCCTGCTGCTACCCAGGGGTTAGGCTTCTGATGGGTGTGTGAATGCAGGTCTCAGCCAGGTACTAAGTGCAAGTCTAACTGAGCGTGCTTCTTGAGATTCGTTGAAATCAGATTTATCCCAGTCAGCTTCTCTTCTGTGACTCCCCATATTTACCTTTAGAATTGACTTTCCAGTGTTATCAAAAAAAAAAAAAAAAAAAAGAACTAGTTTTCCTCCTTAATAATATAATCGTCAGAGCAGAGCTGGCTAGGGAAAATATACTGATATCAGCAGAATGGCACATTTAACCAAATAATAGCATCCAAACAGCATCCTTGGGAGCCCGTGAAGAATCATGCTTGGCTTAAAGTGACAAAAAAAGTTTTTTTTATCCATTCCTGTCCATAAGCCAAAGCTCTATACTTATTTAGAATGGACTGTAGTTTGAATCACACCTAAGATGAACTGGCTGGTCACTTCTAGAGCTGTCGAGATACTCATAGCTATAAATCACCTTTCCTATTGCAGAGATGACCCCATGAGCAATTTCCACTGTCCAGCCTGAAGTCTATCTGGGTGGTGTATGTGTGGTATGGAAGAGGGAGAGGGTGAGGTCCCTTAGGAAGAGTTAGAGCCTTCAGGTAGACTAGAGTTAAGAAATTAAGAATGTCTTGATTTTTGTTTTTAAATTCTCTATATTACCCCAGTAGGAAAACAGACTGATAATAGACTTTTCCTGTGTTTCCCCTTATCTTGCTGTTACTTTATTTTCCAAGAGTAAAGAAAGTGTCTTTATAGAAATCTCTACTTGAAAGACTAGGTTATTAAGTGCCATACAGTCAGTTCTCACTCAAGGAGCTACTGATGGGTTTGAACTACCAACCTTGTGGTTAGCAGTCCAGTATGGAGTCCTGGCATAGTACTGTAGGATAAAGCAGTGGACCACATGTTCAGTTTGAACCACAAGGTTGGTGGTTCAGATTCACTAGCTGCTCCTTGGAAGCCCTATGCGTCGCTATGAGTCGGAACTGAATCTACAGAATTAACAACAACTCATCCTGCAGCGCCACACCAGAATTCCTTTAAGACTATGGGAACCGTACCAACTGATACAATGCTTTTAGGTCTTGAAGTAGTCCAGTTTAATTTAAAAGCTCCCTATTTTCAGATACCTAAAATACGTAGGTGTGCTCTCCTTTTTAATTGACATTGGCAATAAATTCAAACATTTTATGGCTGCACAAAGGGAGTTTTGTCTTTTTAACTAAGTAAGTGAGCAAATCCCTTGAGTACCTAGACCTGAGTCTATTCTGCTACAAGACAGAGTAACTTAAACAAGTCCTAAGGTGTCTGCAAACTCTCCATTCCTATGAATCTATGCTTTTTCTAAAAATGTTCACGTGCAAATATTTCCTTTTCATACGCTCCAAATTTTCTCTAACATGCAAGTTTTTGCTTTATAACAGGAAATAAACCTCTAAAAGGAAAAGCAGAGGTCAAATTGAAACATTTTTATCCTTTCTCAGGTCCTGAACTCTGTGCAGAAGAAGTATTTCTGTTGATTATTTCTTTTGTGATATGCTATCATTAGTGAAATAAAATACATGCCACTATTTTGAGTCTAATTCTACGTTTTGTATTTTCAGTTGCAGTGCTTACCTCAGCTAACCAGCAGCAGTATCCTTCCAGCTTTGGATAATAAAAAGTACTACTGTAATTCCAAGAAACTTAACTACCGTTTTCCAAACATTTAAGGAGCTAGAAGTTTGGTGATAGAGGAACGTGATCATTTTAACTGGTTGAAAACAAAACTCATACATTTTTCAATGAAAGTTTTGATGGAAAACAACCACAATGTACATTGGGAAGAAACATAAGAAACTGCAGGGGGATGGGAGTGGGTAGGTAACACATAGCAAGACCTGCGGAAACTTTCCAGATGCAGTTTCAGGTTCAATGGTAGTGTCCTAAACTGAAAGGAGAGCTTCTTTGAAGTTTCACTTGTATTTTTGTTGTATCCAAGGAGGCAAGCTGATGGACAGAACGAACATAAACTATATCTATTGCCCATACCTTTGGCAAAATTAAATGATGTGAAAAGATTTGTACTTCAATTTGAACCATAAGCAACAAGTTTAAGATATTACAAAATGCCCCCATAAGTGTTTCCTTGTATAAGTTATCTTGAATTCTGCCTTCTGCATCTAGATCCTCTCAGCATATTTAAGGATAGTTTTGATCCTTGAAATCAAAATGCTTAAAGTTCTATTCTGTTTGTTTGCTCTACTCTTGATTTATATATTCTAAAACATTTTTTCCAATATTTGAGATGTTAAAAGTATTTAGAAAGTAGATTATTATACTTAGTAATATATGTGCTTGTAAATTTAATACATTTATCAACATTTCTTAAATATTTTACTGTCCTTCAGTAAAATATGCAAACAAGATGGATTTTTAAAAATCCATCTGCATATGCTCACCCAATTCCCCTTGCAACCAAATGACATGAAGCTTGGCAGCTGACCAAAGGAGTCAAGGGGTAGAGCAAGGACTATAATCTTAACAGGAACTGACCCCTAGAAATGATTAGTACTGCATCCCTCCTACTCAGTCTCAGTCAGACCTGAAGACTCATCTACAGGCAGGACTGTAAATTGTGATCTGGGTTTTGGAAGAAACTGAGATTTTACTTGAGTTATGGAAGAAATCAGGTTGTAATCTACCTACCTACATGATATGCATGCATATACACATGCACACATACACGTGTGTGTATATGAGCCTATTAGTATATAACTAATAAGTAGTTCAAAATGATGTAACTAGAGATTTCTGTCTTTGTACAGTTAGATTTATAGACTTAAGATATGTAGTTCATTGTGACTTAGCCAATTGTTCTAGTTCAAAAAGTGTTTCCATCTTTGTCCCTTGTAGACAAGCAATGTGAGGTCTGTGTTTCTTATGGCTCAACACCAGTTTTGGTTGATGTGCTACCACAATAATCTAGCAGTTCTCAGCTAGTTTTCAAATTTATATTTTGTTTTCAAAACATTTCTTATGTACTCCGTTTATTGCTATGTGAATTTTCTTCATGACAGAGTTTTACCCAGTCTACCTTACCTCCTGCTAATTAATCTACTAAATTATGACATCCACTCTTGAATTTTTGGAGTCCTGCTGTGGGTTAATGTGCCAGGCTGCAAAGCGATTTGAACTGCAAGGTTGGTGGTTCAAGTTCACCAGCTGCTCCTCAGAAACCCTATACAAAGTCGCTATGGGTCAGAGTTGACTTGATGGCACTTAACGACTCTATAATTTTAGCTACCTTAGACAGTTTAGTAACATGCTAAGACTTTCTGATTATGAGGCTAGCACAGGACTGGGCAGTGTTTCACTCTGTTGTGCATAGGGTCGCTATGAGTCAGAACTGGCTTGACAGCAGCTAACAAGAAAGTCTGCTGATGTATGTAGCTTCTTGTATACAGTTAATTGTTGCTAAGTGCTGTCAAGTCGGTTCCAACTCGATATAGAGTTTCTAAGAGTTGGCTGGTAGGTTTGAACCACCAGCCTTGTGGCTCAAACTGACCTTTTGGTCCAGTGCATTATCCTGTAGTGCCACACCAGAACTCCATACAGTTGATGGTGGGCTCTATAATACTTCCAGTAGTATCCAATTCTTATTATGATTCCAATAACAAGGAAGGACATCATCTCTTGAGAATAGTTTGGGGTGTGTGGATTTCTTTAACCTAAGAAAATGTACTTGTTGGAGGCAGATGACTATAATTGTCTACCTAGTTCAGAATAGGGGAATCCTGGTGTGGTACTGCAGGATAAGTACTGGACTGCTAACCACAAGGTTGGCAGTTCAAATCCACCAGCCACTCCTTGGAAACCCTATACAGGATTACTATGGGTCAGAACCAACTCGATGACACTTAACAAAAACACAATAATTCAAAATAAGAGAGTAGCTATAGACTAAATTTTTGTGATCCAGTTCCCTGTTCATACAGGAATGAAATACAAACTTGAGAAAAAAGGTTTATCTTTTTTCTGGGTTCTATTAAATTTACGGAGTCTTGGTGTGGCGCTGTGGGTTAATGTGCCAGACTGCAAAGCCATCTGAACTGCAAGGTCGGCAGTTCAAGCTCACTAGCTGCTCCTTGGAAACCCTCTACAGGGTCGCTATGGGTCGGAACCGACTCAACAGCACTTAACATTAAATTTATGCTAGCATTTAGCCATATCTATAATCCTTTCCTTCAGCATGGAATCACCACAGTGTTCTATGAGACTGTTCTATATCCTTGCTTTGTTTGTAATTTTCTATTTTCTGATATTTTCTAATGAAATGCACTGACAATTAGTAAATGTACACCATTTGTTATGAGCTACCTATATAAATTTGTTTTTAAAGGCACCTAAAATATATTTTCTGCTTGAAAGCTTCAGTATAGAAAGTGTTTATTTTATAAACATTTCCAGTCAAAGTTAGAATCAACACTTTAGTGTTCAAACCCCTAAACAGATATTTACAAACAATTACCATATACCTAATAAAATCAGGGACACTCTTGGGTCAAAATAAAGACTATTTTACATGTTAGAAATATTTGTTATTCTTGTATTCTAGATATAAATTACGTGTTTATATTCTTTCTGTATTTCTTGAGCTTATGGGAGACAGTATTCAAGAATTTATAAAGAAGAAAGATTATTTTCTAATTGACATGTTAAAATTGCCTAGTTTAAAGCAATTTTTTTAATTTAAGAAAAACGTAAGTGTAGCTGTGCTTGTCTTTATTACTGCAGTCTTTGTTTCCTTGTGCAATCAGGAGTACTACTTAAATTCAGTCAAATATCTATGTCCAGTCTTAATACCCTAAACTTAATTTTGTAGCCTAAGCTTACAAAACTGACAAATTAATCAGGAATTATTCATTCTGAGAAAAGATAAATGTTATAAAGAAAACAGGTAACCATGATCATGAGACATGCGTGCAAATCAATATTCCAGCAAGCAATATGAAAAGCATGCTTCAATAATCACAACTTTTAGAACGGATTTCTATCAATAATCTGTAACTTAGCTTCACATTTTCAGTTGTACATTTATAGTAACATGCTTCAATAACTTTAAAATGATAATAAAATGTAATGTAAATTACTGTTACAGATACAATAAAGAGTATTTGTTGGACATGTAAATCACCTTGAAGACATCATGGTGTGGTGCTGTAGGAGAAACAATGGACTGCTAACCACAAGGTTGGTGGTTCAAACCTATCAGCCACTCCTTGGAAACTTTATACAGGGTCACTGTAAGTCAGAACCAACTCCACAGCACTTAACAATATATCACTACATCCAGAAAAATAATCATTATTATTAAATGAATAGAGGAAACTTCAAAAAGTTTATGGAAGATAACTTGCATGGAGGGGATTGTAATCACTAAGATAAAACAAAGTGTGTGATTTGTTGAATGTAAAACTGATAATTACAAAAAATTGAAAAAAAGATCATAGAAAAATTCCACTATCTTTTAATTCCAATTTTTCACAAACTTTTTGAAGCCCCTTGTGTATTAGAATTCAAATGCAACCTACTTTGCATTTTTCTTAAAATAACAATGTACATAGATTCTCACTTCCAATTTAGTAACTATATTAGGCCACATCTGATTTCTACGTATGATGGATCTGGCATAACCATTGCCCTTCTGAAATTTCAATCTGACATCTTTATAATTCTCTTAATAATTACATAATATTTACTGGTTAGAATCAATAATTTCAAATGATTCTTAACATCGGAATACAACACTTGTTTATTTTTTTTACTTCAATTCTAATTTTAACTTCAGAGAAGGCAGTGCTACCTGAAAGGCTTGGACAATCTTTTCTTTTTCTTTTAATCCAGGAAGATCACTTAACAACAAATACTTGAGGTTTCTGAAAACAGAGAAAGGGGAAATAAATCATTTTATGTGGTTTTACTCTTATAAAAAAGTAAGCTTGATTTATTGGCTTTTAGGAAAAATTACAGAGTATGTTTATGTCACCCTGGACATAATGATTTCAAAATGACTATCAGAACAGAGAGTATTGCTTTAAATGAAATTCATGATAGGAACTAAGCAAGGCTTTGGAAAGTTTCGCTGTTCTGAATTCTATCAGTATTTCTAGCTGAATCTATCCAAATGCTGTATGTATAGTATTGCGTAGAACTCCTTTGCATTTGAAATATGAACTTCGAATTTATAGAAAGGGAAAAAACTGGTTCTTAAAAGAGCTTGTTTCTTAGGAGATGAAGCCATGAAGCCTCAACTAACGTAGGAGATGAACAATCAGGTACTTTTGGTCCTAATGTTTTAAAACTCCTTAGACTTCTGTGTACTGAGGTTTTGCCAGATCCATTATAGATTAAAGCAGAAGTATATTAACAAGATTCAGAATTTGAACAATGGGATCTGGTTAAGCATTCTGATAAGACAATTTTAGAATTAAGATTTCCTTGCTAATATTATCTGGTTTTGTATCTGGGATTGGCTAACTTGCTCCAGGTATCACATGGGTCTGGCTGGTGATAGAAGTAGACCTCAGACAACTTTCCTGACCAATGGATGCAGGCTTTAGAAGTGTATTATAGTGCTGCTAATGAGGCAGAAAAATGAATATTTCAAGGCTTTGCCCTCAAACAGAATTAAATATGAATGTGTCTATATCAAATGTCATGTGAATATTAG